TATTATTATATTATTATTCTATTTCCTGATTGACAGAGGCATTTAAAAAAAACGTTAAATTGAATAAATATAAAAATAATATAAAAAATGTAATATCATTCTAAATACATAACATAATATTGTAAAATTATTTCTCTTCTTTTGTTCTTTTCTCTATTAAATAATTCTATCTGAACAGATAACATTAACATTTTATAAAATATAAATACAATTATTTAAATATTATACTCTTCAAACTAAAGTATTTATAAATTACTCATTTAATCTTATTAAAATTTACATTAAAATTAAAGTATTTAAAATTTAAGAAAAGAAAAAAGTAAAAACTATAATTTTACGATATCACATATAATTCACACAAAATTATATAATCACATAAAATTATAATGTTTTGTAACTTGACTAATACATCTAACAGAATTATATTTTTTATTATAATTGTAAAAACAGAAAAAAATATTAAATTTTGTTGAGCAATAAAAATCACACTATAGAAATATCCAGAAAAATTATGAACTTATTAAAAAGTATTCTGAATAAATATCATTTTAATATAGTTTATTGACAGACATAATCCAAAAACGAAACTAGTATTTCGTGTAGATATCGAAATCGAAATCATTCTATAAAGATGACGGCATTCAAAGTCGTGAAAATACTGACACCCTAGATAATAAGGCTTTCTTCTTTTCTTTCAACCAGCCAGCAACACGTCCGTGATCAAAATTCATCGACCGTATGCGACTGCCATCAGCTATAAAACCCGGTTGACATCGACCGTACTGGCATTCGGTGTTTAGTCTGGCGAATCGGTGGTACCGCCATGAGGATCTTAACCACTTTTGCGTCAGTAGCCCTTCTGGCCATTCTCACGAATGCACAACGAACAGAAACTACCTTCGGTGTCTTGCAAGACATTTATCACAGGTAAGTTACACTTATCATAATTCTTCGATATTTATAATTCTATAATTATAAAAAATAATATGTATTAAATCAAATAAAAATGTCCAGATTAAAAAGTAATACTTTATAATTATATGATGCAAAATTATTATACAAAATACGAATTTGAAATATTTCAGATGTACAGATAGCGAATCTATGTTATCTTGCGTTAAACCAAAAGTGTTAGCTTACGTCAACAATGCCATGAAACAAGACAAATTAGCAATTACGGAGGATTTAGCAATAGTTAAATCTCGTGATGTGCCAGAGCATAAGGCGGAAGATTATTTTCCTTCACAATACGATGCCGCAGATCCATCCAAGAGAAAACTCCTCCGGACAATGATGCTTGAGAAATTGGATGCATACTTGTCAAGCCATCAGCTTGAAGCTAAACTACCAGAAGCGATTATGGGATCCAGCATTGTCCCCAGATCTTTAGTTGACAGCATGCCAAAAAGTCTCACGATTCCTCTTAGTGATTCTTCTAGTGAACAAGGTAACTTAATACAAATAGCATAAATTCCGGTTGACATTATCTTATATTCTGTACTTTAAAATCTGCATTTCTATAGTATAAACTAATGGCAACGAAAAATAACAACAAATATATCATAATTTTTAATAATACAATTTCATGATTTCTTGAAGGACGTTTTAAGCAGATTTTATTTCTACTTGCAGGTCGTGGTTTCGTCAAGAAAGTAATGATACCATTCTTACTTGGTCTCAAGTTCAAAGCCACTGCTTTAGTACCTCTTGCTCTTGCCCTCATCGCCTTGAAAACATGGAAAGCACTGACCTTGGGTCTTCTATCAATGGTTCTCAGCGGAGCGATGATACTTTTCAAGTTGACTAAACCAAAAATTGCTTACGAAGTTGTTCATTATGGACATCCACCTATAGAACATCCCCCTCATTGGGACAATGCGGCTCACGGACCTTATAGAGCCTATAGGAAATAAAAGTCATTTTATCATGTGTAGATTTATTTAATATTTATTTATTGTTAGTATTCCATCTGTATTATTTATGTAAAATAAAAATTTTTACATGAATTCATTAAATAAATTTTATTGCTTTAGCCTCACCTATTCTGTTTTAATACATATATAAACTATCATTTTCTTTAGATATAAGAACGCTATTGTTTTAACAATAAAAAATAACTTATAAAAAAATAATAAACAAATAAATAAAAAATAGATTGCATATGTATAGAATAAATTAGCATAGTATGTGAAATGCGTAAATACATTAAAAAATATTAAGATAGAATTGTTTTAAACAAAAATTTGTTTTAATTTTATACAGATTGTTGATTTATATAATCTGTATCATCAAATTGCTTTCAATCCTTAAATATTTAAAAATATTATTTCTCTAGAAAATTAAATATATA